CCCCTTTTTTGAATATGGGTGTTATATTAGCATGCTTCCAATCTGATGGTACCACACCCGCAGATAACGATTTCTGGAATATTAAAGTTAAAGGTTGGCTAATAATATCCCTCATCTCTTTTAAGACTATTGGTAAGATGCCATCAGGCCCCTGCGATTTATTTATTTTGAGTTTAGCTAGGCTTAGTATCACATCAACCTCAGTTATACATATATTGGTCATAGACGATGCTGTATGCTGTATGTAGCTGCGTGTTCATCCGTGCTGAACTTACTGCTTGCAGTAGGGAGAAAAATCCCATCGCTGTTAAACTTAAGCAGAGTGTTGAAATAAAAGTCGTGAAGTGCAGCCACGTCCTGCGGCGTTGAAAGGGCGTATAGATGCCTCTTTGAAAGTGTGTCTCCTCGCTTTCTCTCAGGCCTCATGTACATGCTGCTGAAGCACCTGGTGGACAGATACAACATGTACTACGCCTACCTGCCCTCCAAGCTGGACAAGAAGATCCACTCAGGTGCCGTCACCCAGGTGGTGGCCGCGCCCATCCTCTGCCTCTTCTGGTTGCTCTTCTTCTCCACTGTGCGCACAGGTGAGGCAGCTCTACGCTGGATGCGGACTGTGGGGGGGGTTCGAGTGAATTGATTGGCGTTTTCACAAGTTTATCCTTTTTAATTTTTTCCCGGATGTGAACAGAATATGTGAACGTATTTAAAATGTATAGTTCATTTTTAGAAATGAATCAAGCCCTCAGCAAGACCCCCAGCCTGGGGCCTGGTGCAATACTGGCCATAGACCGGTACTGGTCTGTGGGCTCGGGGTTGGGAATCAGCGCTGTAACTCATTCATCTACCTTTCTCTTGGCTTATGAGTCTGGCCAGCAGATGAAATTGTTGTGGCCTTGAGGTTTAAGTGTCGTCCACCTTTGCTAATAATCACTAACATTTCAGGTCCAGAAAGTAAAATTCCAGACCAAGATTTTGTTTCAACCAGTGAGTTGAGTGTTAGGAGTCACAGAGTACTCAACTGGCAGGTTGAAACAAAATCTTGGTCTAGAATTTTACTTTCTGGACCTGAAATGTCCATCTCTGATTATGAATAATCGTTTTGAAATCCCTTCCAAGCTGCTCAGCCAAACCCACAGAAGCTCCTTTTTTGATCAGCAATCTGATCCAGAGCATGTGAGCGGAGCGGAGCGGAGCGTGAGCAAGGAGCGGAGCGGGCGGAATTTGGTCAGGGTGCGGAGCGGTTTTCTAATTAAGGCTGGAGCGGTCGCTCTGTCTCGCTCCAGTTTCGCTCTGATACCGCTCTGATACCGCTCACACTACGATTCTGAGACGTGCCCAAATCTACCCAGAATTCATCTGGGTAGACCGCCCACGGTCATCTGGAATGATCTCACTCTTGCACATCTGTATTTGAATCAGCTCATACTCTGAACTGATCCTGAACTTGACCTGATACATTTGCTTATTTAGTGAACATTTATTTATTATTATTTTTATTATTCATTGTTTGGTCCTGGTTCAGAGGATTTTCTTTGTGAAAACCAACCTTTAATGTGTGGTTTTCTTTTTTTTTTAATAGGCTTTGTGACCCCAACAACCATGTTCACGTTGGTGGTCCTCATCATCACCATCGTGGTCTGTCTCTCCCACATCTGCTTCGGGCATTTCAAGTACCTCAGTGCCCACAACTACAAGGTATGGGTTCTTGTTCTCTGGGTCACTGTTCTTCAGGTACAGGTTACTGTATCCCACCTTCAGGGGGTGCTGTTGTCCCATCTACGCTTCCAGTGGCTCAGTGATTCTTACCTCCTCTTCTTCCAGATTGACACCAAGGATACTGATGCAGATGGGGTGGAGAATGGCCGTCCGGCTCGCTCCACCACCTCTCCTACCAACAAGGCAGCAGTAAGTGGAATCTTGTCTCATCCGTGGGACATCAAGCAGTGTCATTCTAGGCTTGTGCCCAGTACCTGAGTGTGTCGGGTCACATGACCAGAGAGCAGCCTCCAGTTGCACAGCTGAACATCCTGTATGTCCTGGTCATGCACTGAATTAAATTAGCAGAGAGGATTGTAAAAATAAGCAATACATGGGTATCATATTTCAGTTGTGTGATGTGACAGCCTTCACAAGGACCTTTAAACCCATTTTAAATATTCTTCTGGGGAGCAGTTATGCTAAATCCCAGGCTAGAATTTGTGTCAGTACTTATGTGGTTTAAAAACATCTACGTGACCGACGATTTTTATTTTATTCTTTCTTTCTTCACCCCTCCCCCTTCCCCCAGCAAATGTATATCGCCCAGGTTCTGCAGGATCCAGGATCAGAGGAAACGGGAACCGGAAGCGGGGAGGAGGACGGCCAGGGGTCCTCGCAGGACGAGGAGATGATCAACACGAGGAACAGTATTAACGAAGCGGACTTCCAGTCGGGAGAGGACAGCCTTATAGCCAATGAAGTCCACCCGTAAGAGCGCCGCTGCGGAGATCGAGAGGCCGAGGAAGGGGGAGGAAGCTGGGGAGGAAGCTGGGGAGGGAGGGGGGGCGGGCAAGACGAGATCCACAGAGGCAACTGGGCTGATCACCCAAACCCACTGCTCCCTTCAGATTCCGGGACCATCCCACCATGGAGGTCATCCCCATGAAACCCACTGCTCCCTTCAGATTCCAGGCCCACCCCTCCAATGGGGCCGTCCTCCGCTGAGCTTGGGGTCACCCCCCCCTCCCCCCGCCAGCGAGAGCGTGCGGCCGAACCAGCGCCAGCTTGGTGTTCTCCGCTCCTCGGATAAGGACTGGAATGGCAGCCTGATGCACAGCCTCTCTCATCTGATCCAAATACTTTACCTTCGGCCCCCATCCTGTGTATTCCCGCCTCACTTTAACACCACTAATCCCTAGAATGTGAACGGTGTCTCGCTGTTTGTCTCGTTTGTGCTGCACACGCCCCTCAGCCTGTACACAGGAGAGGCAGGAGCCGGCTGCTAACCTGGGACCCCCCCTTTACACCCTCATGCCCCTCGTAAGGAGTAACTGTGACAGGCTGCATGTTTAGTCCTGTGGGTGGTCTGTCTTTGAAGCACCAGAACTGCCACAGTGTAGCACTGCTTGGGGGGGTGGGGGGGGTGCTTGGTGTGTTCGTTTTTTTTTTTATAGCTTTGGTGCACTAAATGTGCTCAATTCTTCAGTTCTGCAGCGACCTGCAGAGGCGGTCATGTGACCCTCCCATTCAGCGATGATGCGCTGATGTTCAGCCGCCCTGGGAATTAAGGGTGACCTCTTCATGCATGTCAGAACCATTTTACTCCGATTCCTTTCATCAAATTATATTTCCATGTTAATTTAACTTTATGTACTAGCTAACTTCGTATTAATTGCTTATTCTAATGGCCAGCGAGATCTTCAGATCTTTTCTCTTTTTTTTATTACGTACATTTTAAAAATGTACAGTCTAAAGATTAGTGCAATGTTTTTAGACCTCCGGCGGTTTAAATAATCGTTGATTGATGGAAATTGTGTGACTCATTCCGCCCCAAATAAATATTAATGAAGAAGGTCATTGTCGCTTAGCTGCGTGGGACTCTAGGGGTCAGCGACCTCAGACTTCCTGAAGATACGGCCCTTGATCGCTTGAGCCATAGGGATTCGATCCACTAGGGAGGTGTTTTTAAAAATGGCCTAGTGACATGCGAAAGTCATCATGACCATGAAGCATTTTGCTGGTCTTTTCATTTGGATATTAATACATACTGATTGCATACTGAATACATACTGATATACTTTCAGTTTTTTCACCTGTGCTGGCTTAACTGTATGTAGCCATGTATATAGCTATAGATTTTGTGCTTGAATTTGTTTAGAAAAACAAATATTGTACCATATTTTGTACAATATTATTGTACAATATTTTATGGCATTTTGTGTGCATTTTTCAGCAATAGCTCAATGTGCAAAGGATGTACTGAAAGTGTGCTGTTTTAACCGATCCAGCTGTGTAGGGCACAGCAATGCTGGAAAGGTGAAGAAGCGCCACTGTTTTTGATGAAAAAAGCCGGATGCGTTCGTGCTGGTGGAGGCCGAGTGTTTGGCAGCAAAGAGCAATATGTAGAGAATGAAATTTGAATAGTCTGCTTATCGCTTTATAGCAGTGTTTCCTGATACAGTTCTTGGGGGCCCTTTTGCTCACTTTGAGCTCCCAGCCAAACAGCACACATTTTTGCTCCCTCCCAGCCAAACAGCACACATTTTTGCTCCCTCCCAGCTCCAAAACGTGGCCTGTCTGCGGGTCCCCGAGGACCGGGTTCGGAAGCACTGCTTTGTGGTGATTCTCCAAACGCACAATTGGAGTGAACAAAATGTTAATTCCTTCATGTCCCGGTTATCTTGTGACACTGAAACATAACTTATTTTGAATCTGGATTCGGTTAACAAGTAAGTCAGATATCTTTGTACTACTAAATACTATGATGGGATCACCTCTGCACCAATTACCTGCAAGTATTTTCTTTCTGCAGCTGTCTGGACAATGGGAACCATCTGCTTTGGTCACCATGCTGTGTGTCCTCGCAGTGTAATTCAGTGCAATTCACTCAAGGATCGTGCACTGAGTTTGATACACTTGACATTTTGGTTTCTCAGAACATTTGTACAGAATTCCCGTGAATAAATCAATGTTACTTAGACCTGAGCCCCAAACCACGAAGATGAATGCAAGCTCCGAACATCACCTCGTAATTGACTGACTTCAGTAACTATTTAGCAGAGGTGGGTAATTCAGCTCCACAGAGTAAAAGTCCAGACCAGGATTTTGTTTCAACCAACCAGTGGAGTATAAAGAGTCACAGTCACTGAGTACTCAGCTGGACTTGTACTCTCTGGACCTGAACTATCCACCTCTGTTATTTAGATACTTTAACATCTGATCTGGAGGTTAAAGTGTCATTAGCAGGTGCTACATGAAATATATTCTTAAAAATCTGCAGCCTTTAAGGTGTGGTGTTGGAAAACTTGTACAATAGAATTGTTCTTTTTTAAGTATAGCTCTTTCTAAAGTAGTGGTAGATGAAATATAGCATATCTTGAAAATCTTGTGATGCACAGGAGAAATGATGTTGATACGCAGTATCAATGAAGAGCTGTGCTTCTGATTGGCCCGTCTTTGGTGTGCAGCGTGTCTATGGTAAATCTTTGAATTTCTATGTCCTTCAAAGAGCAGTGGTAGAAACGCAATTTTAGACATAGTAGTTTTGCTAAAACCTTCGCTTAAGTTAATATCCGGCTTGTACGACACATCAGTCGAGTGACTGTTGCTGTCTGCTGGGACATAGATATTTGAAATACCGTACAGATAGCGGACTAGAACACTGTGGCGGATATGCACTTATAGCAAATGGCCGCTAGAGGTCTCTGTGTACATTTTTTTAGTTCTTCAATTCTGGAATGGAGACTCATTAGAAAGGGAAAATGAAAGAATGCAATATACACAAAAGACGGACTGAGTGAAAGAAAACTGTTTTGTAAGGTGATATAACTTGAAAAAAAAAGAACTGACTCAGGTTTTCTTTTCTTTAAATAGTACTTTATTTATGCTTTTGATTATTTTTGTCAGGTTTGATGTGCAACTTGTTTAACCATTCACATTTGTGAATGTTTCAACTTCATATATTACCATTATATATAAATTTTATTGTGTGGCTTTTATACTTTTACATTTTGTCTTTGTTTTAGGTTTCATCAAGTTTAAGTTTCAAAGCAAAAAATGTGATTGATATGTTTTTACCCCTAAACACTCCTTGTGTCTAACAAATTTGTGGGTCAAAGGAGATGATAATAATTCTGAGAAGCACATGCCACAGAGGTCTGGCCCAAAGACTTCTGGAAAACTGAGCACAAAGCAAACTCTTTATTCACGTGTTTTTGAAGATATAAGGCACTCGGCATTGATGGTGTCCAGGGGAGACCTAATGATTTCCCTCATAGCATGTTTGTTTCATGTAAATGTTTTTCTTTTCTTTTCTTTTTTGACATTTTTCCTTATTATGGGGATGAAGTTCAAGTAAAGATTGTGGAAGCTTGTGATTGGCTTGTATGACATTGGCTTGATGAATCAATACCAATAGAGACATGCATATAAAATATTTTTGTAAATAGCCTTCAGTAACTCCACCATCATGGTAGTTATGATAATGTGGAGTCGAACACTTATGTACAGTTTATGTAAGTGATTACTGGGAGGGTGGGGGGGGGGGGGTAAAATAATATGTACAGTAGACTGTTTGGGTTTTTTATTGTACTGGTCATTAACTGAATTCCCCTGCCATAAAAATACTAGTGTTTAGGTTAGTGTTTAACAGGACCATTCTGTCGTCTTGGGCTGTCATTTTTTTACATTTTATTTTTAACTTGGGTCAGAAGGCTGTCTGTATAGTGAAAAACTTGTCAATCTCTCTCCCCCCCCCCAATAAAAACTTAGAATGGTTCTTGATCTTCTTGATGTGTCCTTTGTGTCTTCTTTCAGTCTGCTCTCGTGTTTAGAGCTGGCTGGCTGGTCTGCATGGTCTCCCCATGAAGGGCTCATGTCCCATTCGGGGTGTCCCTGGTTTATGTGCTGCACTTCCTGAGACAAAAGTGTGTGCAGGGATGTTTGGAGCCCAGTAAAGTCTGGCTTCAGTTTTCTAAGATCTCTAGTCTTCGTGCCATTTGGTGAAGAATTTCACCAAGGAAATGCCTGAACCAATGTCCACACTGAACATACTTTAATTTTCCCAATGTCTTGACAACAAAATTATCATGCACACCCATTTAATTCATTAGTGTAATTCAGAAATGGCATCTTGGGGAAAATGTATATCAATGTAATTTCGTAGAAATATTCATATGTCAGAATTATTTTTCTGTAAAATTCAAAATCTTCAAATTTACTCAGGAAAAAAGACCTTTGAGGGTACAATTACTTGCCACTGGGGCTGTACCCTCAAGGGTCTGCCAATTGTACCCTAGCTGCAGGTAAATGTACCTTTTAAGGTACAGAAATGGACTGCGAGGAGCATTTTTTGTACCATGGGGCGTACATTAATGTCATTTGCACCTTGGGGAACAAAACAGTACCAAGGATGTTCCCTTTTTTCTGAGAGTGAAATAGTTTAAAAATAAGTAACTTAATAGTCTATGAAGATGCTTTTTAAACTCATCATCTTCTCCAGTTTTGCGGACAAGTGCTGGTCCTCATCTTTGGCACCGCAATGTCTTGGCTCTTATTCTGGTCGAAGGGTTTGCCAGCTGAGGCATCTAGCCAAATCTTTCATCTGGCTTGTTGTCTGGTGTACAGTCCGTCCTGATGTTCTTCACTCATTCAAACACCCAGGCCTCAAAATCCCCATTTCTGTGCAACTGCTCAAGTACACAGAAAGAACAGAGAATCTGTTGTGGTACTGGTTTGGTAGTGTGTACATCTCCAGCTAGTCTGTAAAGTAGTCCTGGGTGTGAACACGCGAACGCTCCAGTGCCCTGCCGTGCAGGTCCTGCTTGATATCGCAGTTCACTGTTTGAGAGGCCACTGTGATGTTTTCTACAGCACAGCTGTCACAACTGGACTGTAACCCAGCCCACAGAGACCCCCCAGACAGTCCACATTTTTGCTCCCTCCCACCTCCTGGTGTGGACAGTCTGTGGGACCCCAAGGACCAGGCTGGGAAACGATGATAGATACGGGGCTCCCCCCAGCTCGGGCAAACCCCCATAGCTAGTGAAATTCTCTAGCCAAACTCAGATCTGCCAGATGGCTGCCCCATTTCCCCCCCCCCCCTCCAGGAGAGCACAGAGCTCCAGACTGTCCCACTGTGGCCTTTAGCCTGAATGCCAGAATGAGGGCAGATTGCTTCATCCACCACTATACAACACGGGTATCAGATCCTCTACTACAGTCTGCTGGGATGGAGACTGTCACTCATCCCAGAGTAGGCAAAACCAGACCGAGGAGACATTGGTAGCCAGTGGGATCTTCTACTTGTATATATATTTTGGACTGGCTCCATCCTGCCGGCTCTGAAGCACTGAAATAAAATAATGTTCTGGCCCAGATGAAGATAACGAGTCACCCTGGAGATAGGCCTGCTCCTCAGCTAGCTGTCACCGCCTGTGATGACTTCAACAGATCACCTCAAGGCTGCTGTTGTGTTTTCCTTGCTAGGTTAACTTGCCATTGTGTGTGATCCAAGGATGTTTAAGTCCTAGACAGGGGACACCAGGCATACAGACCAGCTGCCCTTGTGTGCAATGCACCTCTGCGCTTGGTCACTTTGCTGTGGCGCTCCTTAGCCAAAGCTGTACCCAAAAAATCTGTTATTCTGTAGGGGCCTCAGGGGGTTAGTAAAAAGCTAAAGGAATATGCACCCCTGTAAAAGACAAGGTGAGTAACCCTTAGGAAGCTGTGATGCATATGTGATTATTAGGCTGGGGGCGCCACCATTGGCTCCTGTGTTGGGGGATTCAATCGCACCTCTGCACCGTGTGAGTGCAGTTTCCTCTGGATATTCCTGTTTCTTTCTTCAGTTCCAAAACATGACCAGACAAACTGGAGTCTCTGAGGCGCAGGGGAGTGTCTATCTATTCATCGCAGGGCATACCTATCCCACCAAACACAGGAGATTTAGAAATGCCATTTTTATCTGGAGGACTTGGAGCAGGGGCATCAAACTGCAGTCCTGGGGGGGGGGGGGCGGAGCCCAGTGTAGCTTAGTTCTTTCTTGTTCCACCACAAATGTTTCAGCTCAAGAGCTGTGTGGTAATCAGCTTGACACCCCTTGACTTAGAGGGAACCCATGTAATGCAGCGAGAGCAACAAACAGATCAGGGGGAGCAAGGCTCACAAGCATGGAGAAATCAAGCTACAATGAGCCACTATGCCACCAAGACACACATGTTCATGTTTAGTTTTATTACAATTAAGACATTATATCTATATCTATATATAAAAAAACAAAATAAAATGAACAAAAGTCTCTAAAAAGCTATAAAAAGCCTATGCAAAAAACCCCTATGCAAATCAATAAAAGCTTTCTTTCTTCTTATTATTGTGTATTACCAAGGATCATAAGAATGTTAAGCTGGTCTCTCTGCTCCTGTAACCATCACAGTAATGCAGAAATGTGAAAATGTGTGACATTTCAAAAGTGTTTTTTCTTTCAGGTAGGTGACAACCGGTAACAGAAAACGAGTACCATAGGAATCCAGCCGACTGGAAACGTACCAGGAGCAGCTGGCAGGAGCCACTAGATGGTGCTCATGTTCATTTTTAATAGTGCTGCAGTAAGAGATTATGTAACGATAGTGTCTGTGTTCCTTAAGATAAAGTCGTCCACGCCAGCCTGTCCAGGATAAGAGGTTGAAAGTTGGAGAAATGGGTGGAGATACAGACTTGCTGGTGGGTCTAGACAAGTCCTCGAAAAACAAAGGAGATCGCAGCTCCTAGAGCCAGTCCAAAAGTCAGAAAGAAGGCCATGACGGTTCCAGCCGTCTCTGCCTCGTGTGGCGCCACCTTCCTGTTTAGAAATAAAACCACAACCAAAAAACATGAGGACACTGTATCACCAAACGTAAAGAGGCAAGTGGTTGGCGATGAGCATTAAAGTAGTGAACAGGACGGGGTGAGGATGTGTTTACTTGGGCCCAAAGCACATGCAGAGGCTGGCCAGGTATCCGTTAGAGAAGGCGAAGAAGATCATGAAGATGATGAACCAAGCATCGTGCTCAAAGAAAACCGGCAGGCGGTGCCTGGGCTGCACATTGCAGAGCATGAAGAGAGGCACGAAAAGCAGGCGAGCCAGCATGAAGACGGGCAGCAGACGGCTGTCCTTCCCTGGCTGGAGACGAAACAATGACGGCACATGACCACCAGGGGACAGCACAGTCAACACCAACATGGGAAACACACTTTACACTAGCGGTGTCCAATCTTATCCGCAAAAGGCCGGTGTGTGTGCGGGTTTTCACTGCAACTCCCTAATTATATTACTAATTAGAGGACTGATTGGCTGAAGAGTCCTCACACCTGGGCTTGAACAGCTGACCTACAAGTTATCGCTAAAACCTGCATACACACCGGCCCTTTGCGGATAAGATTGGCCACCCCTGCTTTACACATTTAATTAGCTGGATTGCTCAGTATCTATGTTGCGTGGCTTGATGTTTTTCATTCACTCCTAGTTTGCATCAAGTAATTAAGGCTGTTGCCAAATTTGTTATCTTGTATTATCAATCATTTTATTTGTGATGTTATTGGGAAAATTACAAGGGACTGTATCTCAAACAACAAGGGAACTCTCTTGAAATCATTTTTTGTACCCCTGCAACAGTACGTAGGGCCAATATAGCAAAATTTGTATTTACCAAAACACATTGTGTAATCATATAAAATATATCCCATATAAAACATTCCAACTGAAATAAATTATTATAACTGCAAATAACTCAATTATACTAAAAGTATCCAAAGATATAGAGATTAATGTGAAAGAATCGAAAAATTAAACCGTGTTTCCATCATATGTTGTTCATGGATGGCCCAGTAGTCAAATGCAAGTGAAAAAAATCATTCTACAGTCCATGAAAGAAATCATATGGTGCTGATGCAGGTGTGAGTTACTCTCCTTACTAATGTAAGGCCTTGCTTAGACTGCCTCCTACTGGCAGACACAGCTGTGGTGTTATTGTTTAAAATGCTGCCCTTTGCTTAGCTTCACATTTGCTTCCACAATGCAGCCCTTACTGGAGGTGCTGGTACGGCTCTTCACATACCCACATGCACACTGCAGTGAGGCTTCGTCCAGCCCAGTCCATCAGATTGAAGAGCAGAAAACACGACACTGGGATGAAGTATATCTCTGGAGGTGAAGGAAAATGATGGTTGCAAGACATTTCAGGTAAAAAGATGGTAAACATAAAGGTTAAAGGAAGCAGATGCTGTAAAAATGTGAGGAATGTTTGAGGTGAAGGTACGGTTCCCTGTGAACTATGAGGTGCAGATGAATGCAGGCATTTTATAGCCTACAAAGGCCAAACTTGGTCTAACTCTCCCAGAAAGCCAAGGAAAAAGCCCTTTTTGACCCTCAACTGAAGCAGTGCCTGTTACCACTGAGATAAGTAGTTGGTGTATGGCTCATTCAGTTAGGATGCTTCTGCTAAGTGAATGTAATGTGGCAAACTTCCAGTGAAAAAGAGCTGCTTGATGCAGGGACGCACCCCAGGCACCGCCGTTGGAGATGGTGGACTTGACATCCACAGTGACAGCAGGGAAAATACCAATGGTGACGGTGAAGATGAGGCACACGGTGAGCGCCAGCACCCAGATCTGTGGAGAGAATCACTCAAAGGTTCCGTCTCTGGTTCTGCCTCTGCTCCGCATTCCCAGGCTTGCGGGTTGTGCCTCCAGCACTGCACAGTGACAGCTCCGAGGTTTCCAAGCCAGCATCGCTCAATACCTTTTTTAAGATGGTGACAATAGAGACATTCGGCAACCCGGCCTTGTCTGAGGGGCACAGTTCTGCTGTGGGACCCCCTTCGATGTTGCCTGCCACTAAAAAAATATATGCAATCAGCATCTCCCCATGTTTCTTTGAGAAGTCACAGTACAAATCAATTTAAAACCAAGTGTTTGTTAGTAGACCTCATCTAGGGTACCCACCACTTCCTGGGATACGCTCTAGGTTCACCGTTACCCTGTTCTGGATAAGTGGTACGAGGACTTATCTACCATACAAAAAAGCACGCTTCATGAGGGCGTATGGTTGTGTAAAACCAACTCTTATTATGAAGTTCAGATTTTTTTACATAGCTTGGTAACCATTTGTGGTTGCAGTATAGATATATATGCTGGAATGCAGTCAGAATATGTACTCTGTATAATTTGATTTTTTACCTTTTTCATCGTCATAATGCCTTTATAATGCAATCGTAGAACATACATTGCAACTTCATAATGCGTTCATAGAACATTCATAAGCTGCATACCCTAACATCCTAACATACCTTAACATCTTTATTATATATTAATAACAAACATTATAAAACAGTAACAAACATTGTTTGTGTAATCGTATAATGTTTGTTATTAATGTGTATTAAAGCTGTCAAGGTATATTAAGATGTTAATGCAAACTTACATGCTGCTTATGGATGTTCTTTGAATGCATTATAAAGGCACTATGAACATACAGTCAGTGTAAAGTGTTACCAAATTTTTTATGAAATATATCAACAGGGGATAAATCTTTCAAGTTTACCTGTAGGATACAACTCCATTTGGGTATCCTTCTCAAGCTTATTTTTGTTCTCCTGGTAATACTGGAAGAACTCCTGGAAGAGTGACAAAACCAAAGCCATCGAGTAATATGCAAGAACGCCAACAATCAGGCTGAGGTGACAGCATGAAGCAACCTTAATGGCGAAATCGCTAAAGAGGATCAGTTATTTGCTCACCATTTTGGGAAGCGCCACGTAACACCCCATAGCCAAGAGGATGACTACACAGGCTGTGATGAAGTACCCAAATGCACTGTCCTGCAGCTGCGAGCCACCTGGGAAAAGCCATCAGCATTAGCTCAGAGTCAGGAACCAGAGGATTCAACACCCAAAGCGATTGGCTATAATATTTATATTTCCTGCAGATAGATTAAAACCACTCTATGTGTGGGCCTTACTTGCAAGGGCGCAGATCATTGAGAAGGCGGCGAATGTGCCGGCCAGGCCCTGTCCACTCATTATGGGTGCCGTATAGGCGATGGGGAGCAGCCCGGCCGCGCCAAACAGACTGCCCTGCAGTACGGCTCCGAAAGCTGCATAGGCGGCACAAGGGGGCACCTATGAAACAAGCTCGGGTTGCACACTGTCGATCAACACGTCAGAACATAGCACTGCTACTGAAAAGCTGAGAAACTAATACTGCCTCAGATTGGCCTTAGCACTGTTAAAACATAACATAAAAAGTCAGATGTTTTCTCAGCAGGGATGGAGAACACATCCAAGATCTGTGGGCTCGGGGAGAATCAAATGGAGCCTTCAGGAAATTAGTGCAGAGGGTGGGGCAACTCACAGTTGATAATCACAATCTTGGTCATGGTGATCATGAAGAACGGGAAGGGCTCAGCATCCACCTTCACAGCTATGGCTGTCATGAGGAAGACCACCAGGATAACTCCCAGGCTTCCCATTATCCGCAGCTTCTGGGGAATTCTGTGGGAGGGGACAATCATCTCGAGGAAGTGCCTCCATAAATGAAGATGGAGCTAAAAACTCAATACAACAAAGAAATATCAGCCACCGCCACTCAAACCATGAATTTGCAGGACCCCCAAGGATTGGCTCACAAACAGTCATTACACTAAAATAAATAAAAATAAACTTGTTCCTCATTTAGGAAATGTTGGAGCAGCATTGGCATGCTAACCAGCTAGCTAATCACAATATTCTGACTCCACTTGTTAGCTAACTTTAACGTTATATGCAACCATAAAATAATCATATCCCAGAGACAAGAAGTCTGTAACAGAAACTTTGCCTAAATTGATCGGTTTCTTCAGCACAAATGAAATGCCCGACTTCACAAACACAGACAAAGAGGTGAATGAGGATGCAGTGCTTGTGGCTAAGGCTGCCTCCAGAGTTAGCGCTAATGCTAACCCTTCCCCAAGACGTCACACTTGCATGACCCCTTAGTAAGTGAAGCTAATGCTGTCATTCTCTCCTGGGTTGTTGCGCATTAAAGTTGACTGACCAACAAAAATGTTAAAAAACAGACATAAAATTAGCTGTAATTAACAAGTTTATTCCCAGAACTGAGATACTGTGTTCTGCTTTTGCTGCATTCCCTTTGAACGTGAAAGCAAATTAGCCCTTACAGTAGAATGCAGCCAGGGGTGGGGGTCCCCAAAATGAATTTTTCAGTGGCCCCCAGAAACAACAAACCTGCCTGCTTTATAGCCTAAGACAGGGGTCACCAAACCTTTTCAAACTGAGAGTTACTTTATGGGTACTGAGCCATACAAAGGGCTACCAGTTTGAAACCTAAACTTATCTAAACTTCATGTACAATAAACATGCTTTAAATGCATTTTTTAAAATATTGTCATTTTCAAATCTATATAAATGCAAATGTGATTAAAGAAGAATAGCAACAGGATAAAATTTAATTTTAGATGCTTTTTTTGTGCTATTTTTAGAACAGGTCTGTGGGGAACTCGTGGTCCTTGGGGGCATCCTGGTGCCCGTGGGCACCACGTTGGTGACCCCTGGTCTAAGAAGCCTCTGCCCTTTAATCCTCCAGCTCAAGGAATTTTAACATTAACCTGATTTACCTCAGTAAATGCGGAATGCGAGTGCAGCGCGCTAACTCACTAGCCTTGACCCTCGAAGTTCCTTTACACGTGACACGTCTCAGAAAAACAAAGGTCTTGAATCCAGTCTTTTCTTTGATATCTGTTTTTTTTTACTATAAACTTAAAATTATAATTTAAAGATACAGGGGACTGAAACCGTAATATATGTACCGAGCAAATTCCGACATGGAAGGTACTTGGGCCACAACATGCCAAAAAAAGGCTACAGGTGACGTTCACTCACCGCTGGTGTAGAAATGAGTTGAGGCAGGTGAACAACAGGAGAGGCAGCATGGCACAGAGTGTCATCACATTACTAAACCTGGATTCCAGCACATTACGGGTGTCCCCACCCGGAGCAGTCTCGTTGCTGCCCCCTTCTGGTGAGTCCCTCAGACGGCTGGTAAAATACTGGGTGGAGAGCAGTATTGTTATGGAACTGCAGTTACATGAGGCACCACCAGGGGACCCCGCTGTTAATTCTGCTTTACAGAATTAACCATTTGGTGCTGTTGAAACGAAAATACTAACATACGTGTTAAGATTAAGAAGAATGAAAAATGTAATACGATCTAAAAATCCTCAATTAAGGTCTTGCAATCAATACTTATTTTAATTAAGGTACTAATTAAATACTTAATACCAAACAAGAACAGAAGTCTTTGCTATATGTCACTGTACCATGGTTGCAGTCATAAAGAAGTTCCAGGGTAAGAGAGTCCCCAAACCGAGCATGAAGAATATGAGCCACACAGCTCGGTACCTACGACCAAAACAAACTGGTTATACAAATCAAACGCTGACCCTCCTCTGCTCTTATAATAATATCAAATTCATTGACTTACTTGTCTCTGGGGGCGTTGAGTGTTGTCATTGTAATCTTCTGATGGTAGGATAACTCTTTTCAATGTCTGCAGCACAACCTGAGAATCATAGTTTTTTTTACACTAATAATACAATGAATAAATTTCTGCATGATGTTTTTATTAGGTTTAATTTTTATATGCAAGAAAAGCTACATAGAGAAGCTACAGAAAATATTTTTACACGATCAAAATATATAATTTGCACAAGAACAGGCAGGATCTACATGTGTTTCATAATATATGTAAGAACTATAGGCCTCTACTCATTTTCCAGTGAAACAAAATGCTTGGATAATATGGAATGTTTTGTGACAATATTCGATAAATTAATTTATCATTTAAATGATTATTTAAATTACAATTTAAATTATACCAGCAACCATTAAAATTATCTGTCAAACACCTATTAACTTAGTGGACAGGCTCTAAACAATTCCTAACATCTGATTATGTTACATTGCAAACTAAGGCACAACAGATCGATTTAATTCTTATTTATAATGCATTTTGTCTGTTCCATCCTGAGGCTGCGTTACATCCTAGCTTCACAAAATCTCAAATAAATTCTCATAACTTTAGGATAAAAGTTAAGCTGTCCTAACTTTCCCTGGTCACCACATAGTGTTAGCTATAGCTAAACATATTTAATCCATATCGTTGCTCTTTTATTGCTTTCACCAGGGTTTTAGGAAGTTAGGAAGCTTGTGTAATATACTTTCCTGTGTTAAGATAACAACGGCATAGGAACTGATAATGTATAATGGCTCGTTTTCCTAAAACAGGTACTAACCCTAGTTACCATAGTTAGTTAAGACAGGATCTGCAAGTTAGGAAGTTTCTGAAAAACGGATCCTGGACAGAACACACGGTTATAAATAAAAATTCAATCGACTAGGCAAGATCGATCTCTTGTGACTTAGTTTGTAAGGTATCCAATTAGATGGTTTTGTTTAGAGCCCACCAACTAAGTTTGATGGGTGACTTTGACAGATCGTTTTATATCATCATTGATAATTGAACAATTTAAATGATAATTTAAATGAAATATTTATTGAATATAAATATAAATATAATATAAATAAGTCAATTGAATATTATCAAAAATATCATCCACAGGGTAACACATCCAATTACAAAAGCAATTACATTTCATTTTGAATTCTCATTAATAATTATTAGTCAGTGATATAAATGACAAACTGTCTACATTTTCTGCAGTAAGTAAAGCTATAATAATGTTTTGATTGTTATCATATTCTGTATTCAATGAGAGAAAACACAAACACGAACAAGACGCATCTTTGGATATTAGAAGAAACACGTTGCTTAGCTAATTTTCACCTTTTTCGTTTTTGTTTAACATGTCAAGCAGCATATATTAAACCGATTAGGTATCAAGATAATACAAGGTAATAAGGACGCAAGAAAAGAAATATGTAGACCTACTCACAGAAAATGCATGTATATCCAGCAACGGCTCTGACAAGGAAATAGGTATTCTGCACTCAGAGATATTTGGCCCCGTTTCCAAGAACTGCGTGAGCTTGCAACCCCCCCTAACAGCCAACCACATGCTGCATATGTAACTGATAACAACATATCTTAACACCCTCACACTGCTGCATCTGCTAAAAGTGATGTCTAGTGAGAACACCACGTAGGCCTGTATTTCTGCGATGTGTAATCACCACGCAAGAAGAAAGAAAAGTCAATGCATTTATAAAGTATGCACTTCATCTAATTTACATTGACTTTCCCTTTGTTCATCGTTATTGCTGGGCAACTTAAAGATTTGGTTTACATTAATTGTTATATTTAAAAGTATGGATACAAAAATATATTAAATTCTATATTAAATATATTATTATATTTAAAAGTATGGATACAAGGAGTCGCACTTAGTAACAATACGTTCTAATACGTTCCGGGATAATTCGTTTTTGGGTGAAATGTACGAGAAATGCGTAATTACCATTAATTTCAAATGGGAAAAATTAAGCACTAGTTGGATGAAAGAAAAACAACGCAAGGGATTGATCGGACGCAACATTGGTGCAGGTCCAAACAGGATGGGGCGGCTGCCCCACTAGCGTGTTACTAAGTAACTAAGTGCGACTCTTTGTATACTTGAAAACCAGAATTCAATTTAGTTGTAACTCAGTACATAGTATTAAATATTTTCAATAATTTCAGTCGTAAAATGGCAAGTCAAAGACTCATATATTGAGGGGCACCTGTATCTTCATCTCTATCACAGCAATGAGCAAAATTATGTTTCACTATATCTAACAGAGTACCATGAAGCTAGCAAGAACAAGCCAGAATAATGAACCGGATGTACTTCCGTTGTCATGGTTCAAAGCATTTTTCAAAGTAAAAACTTATGTCTTTAATGTTTTGCATTACAGATTTATGGAATTGTAAATTCAATTTTAAGTTAAGTAGGCCTATAATTCTTTTTGGACTAATTGTCTACAGTGATGGAAGACTATGGGACTGGATTCCGACAGAAGTTGGAGAAGCGGCCACGATCTTCCAGAACGGGGTTTTCTCACAAAACCTCTATTCCGAAGATTGTTGAAGGAAAGAAGGTGAAGCATCTATTTCACTAACTACAGCAGAATCTCAGAACCAATATCAATGATAAAGTTAAGCATGTTTATGCTTTTTATACTTTTACGCATAATTTAATGTTTTTGCCAGTTTTGAGCTGATTTTTATAAAGTAAACATTCAGTAAACAGTATTCTCTATAAGCAAATAAATGATGTCTGTGGTAAGACATAATTTCTTTGGAAAAAGAGAGTGAACAGTTGCATTTCCCCAAATAAGAATTATAATAATTATAATTTTAAAACTGTGTCAGATATTTCAAATAAGAATATATTTCATGTAGGTCAAAAAGGTCAAATGTATATGAATAACACAAATCTAAAAGATTGTGTCAGCTTCAAACCTAGTTATTATACATGCTACTAATGCTCTCTGAATAGAAACAGTGCCACTTATATCAAATAAGTGTCAGGAAAAAGTTTGCTGGGTTTTAAATGCAGTCACCCCAATGCGAAATGATACCTGATTTCACATAGGTCAAATGTATATGCATAACACAAACATAAAGGATTGTGTCAGCTTCAAACTTAGATTGGTACATTCTGCTAAGGCTCTTTGAATAGAAACAAGTGCCACTTATATCAAATAAGGGTTAGCATAAAGTTTGCGGGGTTTTAAATGCAGTCCCCCAACACTAAATTACACCTGATTTTGCATAGGTCAAATGTATATGAATAACACAAATTTAAAAGATAGTGTCAGCTTCAAACTTAGGTACATTCTACTAAGGCTCTTTGAATAGAAACAAGTGCCACTTATATCAGATAAGTGTCATCAAAACGTTCACTGGGTTTTAAATGCAATCCCCCAACACAAATTTAGACATGATATCACACAGATCACATGCTTATGCATAGCACAAATGTAAAGAAACTCTGTTGTTCCCTGTTACTCCAGTCTGTGTTTTCTAGATACAGTATTCTAAAATGGTGCATGACTTAAATTTAGTCTAATTAAACCAATTTACGTTCATGCCACCATGAGGATTTAGATATAACACATTGTATGTGTATGAGTCATTCTTCCAGATTTATGTAATATGTTACAGGACTGCTTCTTGTTAATTGTCGTATTTCATCTGCATATGTAATAAATTTAATGAACACCACTCTCACATAGATTTAGGTTACTGTATAGTATGGTCAGTTTTACCTGCCCCAGGTGTGAGTGTGGCTTGTTTTTGTTAATATTATTATAATACACACATAATACGGACTATTTTAGCGAGCTGTGATACTCTATGCCAGCTGTCAGATATGATAAGGAAAACAAACTGTATGAATAATACAACATAGAACATGACTTAAGCAGGGCATTTTTATGCAAATGCTTATTTTAGAGTGTTTTCACGCACACAATTACTCACAAGCACTTTATTAAACAGTGATAATACAATTAGTTCTGTCAAGTTCGGTGTCTTGATATTCTCACGATACGTAAGAACATAAGAACATAAGAAAACATGTATGATTTCTATGTGTCAATGGATTCGTGAGTTATTGTTTTTATACTCAGTCAATGCATTGTGTGGCGATTGGGTCCCAAAAGTTAAATTGTCAATGAAAGGTTATATTTATCATATCTGATTTACTGGCTATAATATCAATATTAATAAAACAATAACGGAGATGAAATCAACTATAACCCACAATGGCAGATTTGAGGGATTTGACAAAACTATAGCTGAATAGGAATCTCAGAACAAAGTGTGTAATTTAGAACTGTTGCCACTAATTGTGTCAACAGACACAAAGCAGTGCCGACAACTAACTTCTGCTCAGTAACCTATCTATGGAATATTTTCATCAGCAGAAGCCAAATGCCTTTTGGTGTCCAGTTCTTGTTCGCTTTTCTCCTTTCAATGGCTGCGTAAGTAACTTTTTTTTGCTGAGTTTTATGAAAATCTGTTAAGGCAATCGAAAAGCTAAAAGTGTCCAAAGTCTTCCATTGGACAAAAGCGTATACATTTTGATGACGTATGTTTCTTGGTTACCCTCTTGTTTTTAGTAACACCTTGTTGTTTTTGGTGTGCAAGTGAGTATGAAGCCCTATGGTCCTATTTTGACATGCCAGTCAGTCTATCATTACTTGTAATCAGAAGGTTGCCGGTTCAAACCCAGCCTCAGCACGTCTGCAGATCCTTGAGCAAGGCCGTTAACCCCCAGCTCCCTGGGTGCCGCTACGGGTGGCTGCCCTTCACGGACAGCTTGCTTACAAACAGCAAGTTGAGGGAGGCGTAAAAAAGACAATTTCCCCACGGGGATTAATAAAGTGATTATTATTATTATAAGTGTTGTCTGCCCATCCAATTAAGGACCAATTGCCCGTCCAATGAAGGATCCTTTGGACCAAATAAAGATCAAAATTTTTGTAAAATTGGCAAGAAATGCTGTTGAAGATGCTAGTGGCATATTTCAGTGGAATGCGATTATCTAGCAACAACAAAGTGGTTTTCTGGCTTTAAAAAAGGGTTTGTACTTGGCATTAAACATACATAGCATGATCTAAATGTATTCCTACTTATCTTTGGGACAGCTTTGAAAAATGTTTGGCAACAACACACAGGATTTTTCATGCATGGACTGAAATTTACAACATTTTTGACAATCTAACTTTTGGTTTGTTTTTCCTCTTTAGATGCTTCCATCGCCATACTAAACAACACAAACGAAAGTAATGGAGACCAAGTCAAAATTTTTGAAGCATGCACCAGAAAGGGTGGTTGGTGATGTGGCTATAAAAAGACTCTCTCTGGAAAATGATGTATATTCAGGAGTGGACATTTGATTCATGTCTGTTTACCTGTTTATTTATTATTCTTCATATATATACATATACTGTACACACACACACAGGTTTGTAATGATATCTTTGTGGGGACTCTCCATTAATTTCTATGGGGAAAATTCTAATCCCAACATTATGACCTTAACCCCTACCTAGCCCTAACCTTAACCATAAGTAACCAAATTAAATGGTTATTTTTTAGTTTTTTTTATTGCATTCACAGATCTCAAAATAACAGATTTTATTACATTGTGGGGAACATATACATTAGTGTCATTCCCTGATGTTATGGGATGTTTTCATTCTTGATTCTGGCATCTTAAAAAGTGTTTTTTTCCTCCCATACACTACTGCGCTACAGATAGCTACTGTAATAAAGAGCTTGGAAATTTGACTGTGAAAGGTCTATTTTAGTTGCATTATAACAGCTGCTTTCCCCCATATTTATTAAAGAAGGTGCAATAATCTCTTCTCCAGAGAGTCTCCTTTGATCACATTCAAACTTTACCATTGACATATTCAGAGGTGTTTATTTTGTGTATGTGCTATGAGTATAGTAGTATTTTAAGTTATGCACTACAAGTTGCAGACATAATTGCATTGAAAACATAGGATATGTACAGTAATTCACTGTTTAAGTCAGTGTTGTCCTGTTAATCCAGTTATTGAATATCAAAATCCCGTTGCAATAAAATAAGGGTTCCCCAGCCCCGACTGGCGAAATCGCCTACGTGTGGGCGTACGGGTGGAGTGTTGGCTCTGAGGTTAGGGATCCATGCTTGTAATCAGAAGGTTGCAGGTTTGAATCCTGAGAATACCAGCAGTGATCCTACTCCAGTGGGTCCCTTCAGGAAGATCCTTAACCTACAATTGCTTTGTCCTGGGATGTTAATCCATGTCTGGCCCTATGGAGGTCCTCCAGCTTATGGGGAAATGAGGGGGCTGGTGGCAGGATTGGCACTCCAGCCACCAGGAAAAAAAAAACTCCCACTGCTCCATTCGGGCCAGTGTGGTGCTGAGGTATAATCTGCCACATGACTGTACCCAGGTTCTCATCCCTGAGGTGGTTCATTGTGTTGTGGGTGTGGCAATGCGCCCCATACCCCTCTGTCTCCTACTTGCAGATATGTTTTTATAGTGTGTCTTTCTGTGAGCGAGACCAGGAATCGGGGCGGGGCAGATCTGGACAGGGGTGGGGCTTCGGGACTCCATTTCCGAATGTTTTCTCAAATGCCCCGAATCTTTTAGTCTTTTAAAATAACTTCAACTTTGCCTCATTTCCCATCAGTCTATCTGAATGGACCAGGAAATCATTGGAGCAGAAGTTCTTTTGCTAAGGGAATATCGTCATCTATAGGTCCACCCTAATATTGTCAAATGTAGCAGATTTTTCAGCTAAACATGAACTCTACAGTATCATAGTTGAACAAAATAGCTTTCAAGATTAATAACGCCAAATTGCTACCCTACTTCTGTTACGTAACTTCTTTTTATGGTGGTCATACTCAATATTTGTTGTTTTAGGGTTTCACAACAACAAAAACAGTTGTAGGCTCTACACGGGTATTTTTTTTCCTGAGCAACTATCAGGCTTTTCCCAAATGATGACTTTTATGCGTTCTAACATCTCAGTCGTACTGAGCCTCTACAGTAAGTGGTCAGAGTGTTTCCCACGCAATACTTTTGCATTCCCTTGCAAAACTATTCCAATAAAAGCAGTACTGTGTCCGTTTAAAGTACAAAATATGGACCAATAAGTATAAACGGGAGTGCAAATCTATTTCAAATTTTTTTTTCCCACCCTGACCTCTTAGGGGCTCCGTACTAACAGCCTGAAATAATGCATATAACTGCCATAAATTAGGAAAAAAATATCCCCCGCGGAGCATGTCTCAGGACCCCTAAGGTTTGGGCTTAGACCCGGAATGTTTACGTAAGGCTCCGCCCCTGCAAAGAACCAACCATTACAGTATAACCTGCGTGAGATAAATCAAAGGATCAAAGTAACCACACCACCCCCAGCATGGCAAGTGAGTGGATTAGTCCTTTAAATACCCATGTTCTTGACCATTTCTCTGTTGCTGTGACTCCAAGGATGACATCACCAATCTGAAGGTCACCCGAATATGCTCTCCCAAACCTGCACAATTAAAAGCCAGTGTAATTTACTAGGTGTGCCTATCTTGTTTAGTTATAGATCTATTAACCCATTAGTGTATTGCCCCATTGCACATTAAATGAATACAATATAATAACAACTAGTACAGACAAAAAATAATCTGAAAATCCAAGGGGTGTGCATTGTTCCCTAGTGTCCACTGATCCAAACACACCTCACTACATGCGCCTGTCTTGTCTTGTTGTCTAAAGTTACTAACCCATTCACGTATTGTCCCATTGGACATTATATGGAGCCATGCGAACATTGAAAGATTAATTTAAATTTGCCTGTAAAGCAATCTGGAAAACCAAGGAGTGTGAAGCAGTTGCCATGAACCCAAATAGTTAATTCCAATACCTCATTACAGCTGAAATTACCTATTTTCTTAGCTATTAACGAGATTTTGCACAAATTATGAAATGGCTCAAACAGCAAAAAAAAAGTGGTGTCCATCATTGTCTGTGTACTGCACATCACAATTATGTTCCATCACTGCCGTTAAAAGCTATTAAAGCCGGAAAACTGAATGTGGAATATGAGGCTAACTTAAGCGCGGTCCTTCACCTTGGGCTAAGGAATGTGCAGAGGACAAAGGAACATGGACTTTATGGGTTTCATGAGTTTTCAAAGTGAGTTTATGTTTAAAGGCTACATTTATTTAGGTTAAATATATCCTACGCATATATTTGTGCACGATCTATGTTTCATAATTGCCAGTCCATTACCAATCAAATCGTTTAATATATTCATTTTAATTTAGTTTTTATTGTTTAAAGTTTTACTGTTCATTTGTAATAATTCACAAAATAAAAACGCAAATAGCATTTTTACTGTAATCAGCAGGTAGCTACGATTACTTATCAAAGTCCTGCCTAGATATTTAAGGATCACTTTTACATTCTGAAGCATTCTTTATATTAATTTAGTTAGGCCTATAACAGTTTCAATGGTATAACGTTTTTGGAAACATCTTTCGCAGTATCATTTGCGTTATTCATTCTGAATATATGAAATGCATTTACATCAGCACTGAAATATTACTGAAGCAATATTGTTAGATGATGAATCTTACATTAATTTTATTTTATTCCCTTTTTACCCATGTGGAGTCTAAAGAGCGGCGGAGCCAGTAGGGGATGCGATTCACTGCAGGGATGCTGAAATAGGTGTTCCAGGAAATTCAGTTCCCTATATTCTCCCAAACATGTTCAAACATAGTTGAGTTGGCCTAGTTGGAAGGCCCAAAATGGTATGCATTCATGGAGCCCAAGATCTCTAGCAGAACCTCTGGTTATTACTATTCATAGCTATGCAAAAACGTATGATTGATGGCCAAAATAGTCATTCAGCAACGTATTTCCGCGTAAACGGAGAACATGGGGGTACTGAATTTCCTGGAACACTTGTACACCTGAAAAAAACCTACTTAAGAACAGTAACAAAGTTTTTTCTACTTTATTACTTTACACAAGTACTTTTTCTACTTTATAAAAAAACAGCATTTATCAACCCAAACCAGAACGTCCTTTCCATGTTTATTTCTTGATCATAAATACTGCTTAACTAGAATGATCACTTAGCCATATATTAAATAGACTGGCAGGTCCCCATTCTGCTGAGTTTATCACAACTATCATAAAATAGGAACATTCGAGGCGGGGGAACGATCACACAAAGTTTAGCAATGCCCCCACCCCCCATTCCAACACCCGCCCCTCAAAAGTCATGAAGAACCTAATTAGCACAGACTATGCTGGTACAGTATCTACTTACCCTATCGGAGTCAGAAAAGCAACAGCTGTGGATGAGTAGAACCTTTTTGATATTTAATACCTGGTAATTGTAATAACTGGTATAATATTAAGGTGATACAGCTCAGTGACCTCTGTCAGTTGTAGGTACTCTGCCAGAGCATGTGTTTCTTACCGGCATAACCTTAAGCTTATATTTTTTGAGAAGTGTGGCTTGTGTTTCAAAGCATGACAACAATCAGCTGATCACGTTAGTTCCTGGTAACATGCTCAGTATGAATAATGCCTAAACTAATCGTACGCTATAATAAATATAGACTAATAAATTGATTAAATGAGATAACGCTGAGCGAAAAATGCTTAAGCACCTAAGAATACCACTGATGTTGAAATAAAATTTATGGCTATAAGTTACTGGTCAACTAATACGAAAGAGGTAAAAACTTTGCTGTACGCTTTAATCCCTCTTAATACTTTTAAATGATGCTTAAAAGTATTCATAACCACAATTAATTTAAGTTTGGAAACATTTATAAAACTAGATAAATATGAAGAGCTACACTGAACTAAAACAAAAATATACTCTTGTTTATAGTATCAGTTCTCTAAGTTGCGTTCAGAGATCGCAACTAAGTGTAAGCAAAAAGTATTGTGACATTTTGAAATAGAATTAGAGAAGTGATTCTAGTTATCTTAACAGTTTCAGTACTGCATACCCCAAAATGCAAAAATAAATGTATTTCATAAAAGCAGGAGCATTAGAAATTGGGGAGACATGACCCCCCAGTATTGGCAGACCCCCCCTTAAGATGTTTACAAAGAAGAGGAGGCCATTTGGCCCATCGAGCTTGCTTGGGGAAAATTCAACTAATAGCTTGAAATTGTTAAAGTCTTATCTACTATAGCTCTGATTTGAAGGAACCCAAGGTTGCACTACACTAGGATGAAGATTATTCCATACTACACGCTGTGTAAAGAAGTGCTTTCTCAGACCCAGTTTCAAATGTTCTCCTGCCCTGGTGGACACGGGTTCCACCATCACCCTGGTCCTCCCAGGCATGTTGCCAGGCACTGATGGGGCTGTGCCAACTGGCTGGGAGTCCGCAAGCATCCAGCTGGCATCAGTGACTGGCATGCACATGGGCATGAGGGGGAAGAGGCAGCTGTGACCCACACTGGCAAGACACATGGTGGCCAACATTTTTGACTCCAGCATCATCAAGCTGGACCTGTTAGTTTGCCTCGGGGCTGCCATCATTGTGCCAGGGGCAGCCCTTTTCCTCAGTACAAACGTGGTATTCCTCCAGTATGACAGTGACTGCCAGCATCAGCAGCTGACGCAGAGAGGGGGAGAGGTGTCCGTGTGGATGGCGAAGAAAGCAGCCCACAACTTCTGGGTGAAGATCAACAGCAATACGGCTGCAACTCCAGCCCAGATCATGGAGAACAGCAAAACTGCAATGGGGCCGTCTCCCAAGATGGTGCAGGCTGTCCAGGAACTGACAGCAGAACAACAAGAGGACCTCAAAGCCCTGTAGAGCTTTTTTCACAATATCTTTGCCACCAGGACCGAGGATAGCCAACCCACTTCCTTGGTGCAGCACAGCATCGATACAGAAGATGCCACGCACTTCTGGTCAGTGCTGTATAGCCTGTTCAACACTTCTGCCACCTTCGAGAGGCTCATGAAGCACGTCCCAGTCCATGTCCCCCAGACCCAGTACATCTTGCCTTTTACCTTGATGACCTGCTGGTACACGCTGCTGATTTTGCCGGGGCACACTGGAACTTTCCACCTGAACCACTGGAAGGGCTCTCTCTTCTAGTACAAGATGCACTTCCTAGGCCATGTCTTCAGCAGGGAAGGCATGGCCATCTACCCAGAGAAGATGGCAGTGGTGCAGTGCTGGCCAACTCCATGTACAGTGGCAGAGCTTAGCGTCATATTACTGGCGCTTTGTAGGGAACTTCGCCACCATTATACTGTTACACCATCTTAAAGAGAAAGGAAGCGGTTTCACGTGGATGAATGCCTGTGCTGCATCGTTTAACTAGCTTTGTGTGGTGCTTGCCAGTGCTCCCATGCTAGCATACCCTTTTATTCTGGACACAGACGCTAGCAGCGAGGGGTTGGCACTGTGCTTTTGCAGGTGGGACCCAAAGAGATGCACGTAGTTGCAGAACTGATATATACTCATGGCCATGAATTACTTCACAAAGTGTCAGTGAAGCTGACCAGAGCACCACCACCACAATGTGAGTGGCAGCAGGGACTGAGCAGGACAGTGACAGTCTTGGGGGCCTATTGTGAGCCTCTGTGTACAGCGTCTTTAAGTCCAAGTTTCTTCTGCTTCCGAATGCAATCTGAGCTAAGAAAGCAGTGTCATATAGACAAAGTACAATTAATTTCTTACTTGAATGCCTTCTCCAAAGACTACAGACAATTAACAAGACAGGGCAACATTATAGTGTAAAAAAATATTCAGTAGGGCTGGGTGATGTGTGATATTAATATCAACATCGCAAGTTATGCACAGGCAATTCGCACATCACAGATGGGTTGAGATCAGGCTTTTGTGTATATTCATACTGTATGGACATTATACAGTGGTGTAAGGTTTTCTCATAAAGAATGTCATTTTGCAATGTAATTTTGGTACTTAGAAATCTTGGTGATAATTTTTTTTTTTTGTGAGGGTTACATTTCACAAGAACATTTATATTCAGTTAAAGGAAACAAAACTTAGCAAGCGTTGCAATTTTAATGGACAATCCTTTTCAACATCATCTAGTATTTGTTTAATATTAGTTTAAAGTTTACCGCCGCTACTTTTGCACGAGCTCTTTATGTACTTTTAGAGCCAATCATAATCATTTTCCTTCACCAGCAGATGTTCCATAGGCTATATAATGTGTCATGATTTGCTCGCATATTTATGACAGCACATACTTATAAAGTATTTTAGTTCATCGAAACTGGCTACCCAAGTATTTTATGACGATGCTCTGACATAGTATTTTGTTCTATTGAGATGTGCTACCTGTAGTTCTAACACTGGTAATACAGTCTGATAATGTATTTCAGACTGTCACAATGCCTGTTTACATTGCATTAGTTTGTGTTGTTGTTTACTTATTTATTATTTTTTTGTACCATCCACTTTCAGTTTCAGCCCATAAAAACGATGGTAGCATTTTTTGGCAGGGTAGCACTGCTCAATAGATATACCTGTGTTAACATGCTATGGCAGAACAACTCGACAAAGTAGGACAAATGGACAGAACAGGGACCCTACAAGTAGTTGTAATTTCATTGTATGAAAATATATACATATATCTTAAAAACCCGATATATCGCCCAGCCCTAAGTATGACTGACACAAGTTCGATTATCAACTATCAAAATTGGCATTGCCTCAGCTATGGGGCGCCAAGTGTCAAGCGCTCATTTTCGTGTACATTTTGTAAATGAAAGACAGTGATTTAGTGGACGAAATGAATTTCATGAATTAAACAAAGTCATTTGTGGATGAAAAGCAACTCTACCCCAATGCTTTTGATGTAGCTCATTTTAGAGGCGCCACCTTCTGGTCATGGCAAGGTACTACCCTCCCCCTGTGGGCACGCGCCTACTACACACCTCTCCTACTACACACCTCTCCTACTACACACCTCTCCTAACTCAGCCAAAGACAAAAAGCATTCTGTGTTGCTCTGTAAAATTTGTCAATTCGCAGATGATACATCCATCTTAAGAGATAATTTCATGGTAGATAAAGCACTTAATATAATCTCAGTATTTTCCAAAGCATCAGAATTATCACTCAGTATTAATAAATGTGAATTACATCCCATTCACACGTGCACAGAATCTTCTATTATAGTTAAATATTTAGGTATAACAATATCCAAAAATGTTACTAGAAGAGAAGACATTGATATTTCCAACCACATAACAGATATGAATACATTTCTCAGTCATTGGCTAACCAAGGGACCATACTATTTTTGGTAGAGTTATTTTTATCTAAAGCAAAAGGCATATCTCAGTTAATCTATCCTTGTCACTCCATGTATGTTTCCTCCAGTAATATTTAAAACGCCAATTCTTTTATCTTCCAATTCATTTGGAAAAATAAAAATCATTATATCAAAAGATCACAGTTATTGTAGTTAAAGAATACATAAAGGGAGGTATCGGGGTGGCAGAATTTGAATCAATGTATTTATTAAATGGCCTATTTCCCCAAAGGTTAATGAAACTCATCTCAAAATAATACATAAGGTTTATCTGGTTGCAGAATTTTTCTAAGGATAGGTTTAAATTCAAGGTGGAACTTCATACATTTTGTGATATTTCAGATTAAACTTTATGTCACTGATCATCAACTGGCGGCCGGCGGACCGAATCCGGCCCGCTGAGCCGTTCAATCCGGCCCGCGACTGGATTCCAAAATTGTGAGGATCAAAAACAAAATAGTGGTCCACACTATTAAAGCAACTAAAAATAACATGGGAGCCAGAATCAAATGCCTTCAGTTTTGTAATGAAATGGAAAAAGTATAAACATTAAACATAATGTTAAGCCAAAATTAGATTTTTATTTGATTTTCTTCTTGGGGGTCCGGCCCCCAAGGAGACTGTCTGGTAAAACTCTGGCCCTCTGACAAATATAGTTGATGACCCCCTGCTTTATGTTATGTTTTTCTCATGCCCCATGGCCAAAAGTTTTTAGTTAGATATTAAAAACTGGATATTACTTCTAAATGCCATTCCACATTTTGATACTTCTCATATATTTTTTTACATGGATAATTTGAACCCTTCTATTTTGGACATGATTAATAAAGTCATTCTTATGAGCAAAAATCATATCCATTGTTCCAAATGGAGAAATGATAAGCCTTCCTTTGTGTGTATTATAAATAATTTTAAACTATTTTTTTCATCACTCAGCTAAGATAGCTAGAAAGATTAGCATGTGAATGAATTCCCTGTGACGACATTTTGTCTTAATTATTAACAGAACTGATAACAGTGCTGGAAATTATCAATAAATTCTAAATGTTGGCTGTGGCTCGCGCAGATTTGTCTTGATTAGTGAGTTTGTTACGTTGCTTTTATAGTATTTCATTTCCTTTCTTTATATGCATGGGATCTTAAGCTTTTGTCTCTGTTGTACCTCTTAAAAGCAATTACTTCTGTATAGTCATAATAATAATAATAATAATTGCTACATGGACTAGCTGACCCTGAAATCTCCTAAATGAATAAATGAGATGTGAAATGTAAGGTCGTCTTACATGTTCACAGCTGCGGGTGTGAATCCCGCCTCCTGCCCCCACCCTGTCTGGAGTATGTGTGTTCTCCCTGGGTGGGATTCCTCTGAATAGTCAAAAATCCGTGATTAGGCGTGTCAAAACTGCCCATACTGTATGTGCCCTGTAATGTAACTCCATTCCATGTCTTATGCAATAAGCTGGCGTGTCAAAACTGCCCATACTGTATGTGCCCTGTAATGTAACTCCATTCCATGTCTTATGCAATAAGCTGCCTGTGATTATAGTCTCAAGGCTACAACTCACCTCCTGTACTTGATAAGCAATTGACTGTAGGATGGGAAATAATACTTTACCGGAATCAGGTATCAAAAGCGCAAGAATAAGATCATTGTACAAAAACATTCATTACATTTTTCACATTTATTCACACATAATTTTTAAGATAGTCATACCACAACTCTTAATTTTAGCCATATTATAAATGTTCCTATTTATCCCAAGAGAATCTGCACAAGCTGGCAGAACACTTTGAAACAGTTTTATCATTCAAAAGCAAATGGAAAACTAAAGTATTTAATTATTTAAAACAGCATTTTGAATTTAGCATTTGTTGTGCTAAAATAGATTTAAAATGGTATGGCTATTTAAAAATCAGAATGATTACGTGAAAGAACATGTGTACTTACTTGCAGTAGAAGTCTCTCTGAACTATGGCACTTGATGTCAAAATACCCAGAGTTCAAAGAGCGTAGAGTAGCTTATCTCCCTCTGTGGGAGGGAGTGATGAACACAAATGGCTGGTTAAGATCTTTCAAAGTGTTTAAATATTATCAACCGATCTTCTTCCTCAGTAACATAATGTTCAGATGCTTTTGGAATTTTTTATCCTTCCTGGTTAGTGAGAAAACACTAAATAACTAATAAATCATATTAAATAATTTGTGCTGCATTGGCTCTGAATATCCTGTTTTGTAATCTGCCAGCAAAAGATGCAGAATGGGTGGAGTAATGGTGAAATGTACGCAGACTTGAAGATGTGACACTACACATGGTCAGGGGTGGAGGAGGGAGTGCACAGCAGGGGGGTGGAGCAAAGGGGGCCCTCAGGAAAATTTGCTGACCTGGGGGTTCTTGGTGAATTGTTGTGAATTCTGAGTGATCATCTCTTATCAAAAAGGGCATTCCCTGGTAAACTCTGCAGTGGACCCCCTGCCATGAGGGTGGATACCCCATCCTCCCCCACCTCCTCTGCTACTGCATATAGTCATGGGCGTGGTCTTCACAGTGATGAACAATCCACTAAAGGAGTTACAATGAAAGATGTATGTAGGAGCTACGGCTGTAATTGCAAACGTAAGCCAGCTGATTCCGGCTTGGAACAGAAGTGCCGGCTTCACAAGGACTATTCAGCTCCTCTTTTACTCTCCTTTCTTCTTTCTTTGTATGCAGTGCAATAAATTAAGTGGAAAAAGACAATGTAGTCGGTTATATAAAGACTAACTCCCAAGATCACTTATATTTCCTTATTACTATATATAACCACTGTTATAGATTTCTATCATTCATGAAGCAATCTTTTAAATGAAAGAAATTATCTTACTTCATGATTGGTTCCTTCAGAGATTCCCCGTTCACGAATATGACAATCTCTCTTACATCACCTGCTGGTGTAATGAGGTACTGACATCTAAAACAGTCCATCCATCTATCATCCAACTATTTTCTATAGCTGCTTGTCCAATGCAAAGTCACAGGGGTCCAGAACCTATCCCAGAAGCTACAAGCACAAGGAGGGGACCCTGGATGGGGCGCCAACCCATGGCAGGGCACACTGCCATGAAGGTCTTAAGTTGACAGACCACAGAGGTGTAAAGATAAACGTGACACAGTTTACCTTTTTGTCCCACTTAACCAATATTGATCCTAATAACAGAATAAACCAGTTCCATTAAACATAAAGTTAACCCCCAGTTACGATGATGATTCACATGTAGTATGTTAAAAATGAGCCTTTTGGTTGAAGTCTATTCATCAACATTACATCTGTGGACAGTTGCTGTGGTGTTTGGTGCTTCAGTGGTGGAATTCTTGCCTGCAAGTCTTGTCCTAGAACTTGGTTTGCTGACAGTCCACGATGGCTAAAGATGCTGCCCATGCAGTTTGCCAAATTTCTGCAAACATTCTTGACTTTAGTATGACAGCCATCTCTCTGCAAGTCTGTGATGCACGAGCTGAAGCGTACTGGCAAGTCACCAACAGGCATGGCAAAGCAGATGAATGAGGTGCTGCATCTGAAGTATGGGCGAGCTCACCTGGCACAGCTGCCTGCCATAGAATCACAAGCATCAGGGAGGCTGAGGCCGGGCAGAGAGCCACTGGGCAGTTCCTGGGCAAGGGAAACCCGCCACATGCATTTGGGCCATGTGAAGATCCAGTTGGCTGGGGTGGAGTCTCTGTGTTCAGTTTATTAAATTCATATGTCAGGAACCAGCCATATCCAAACCGATCCAGGGTTCTTCTGGGTTGGTTTTCAGATCTGACCACACCAGAAAAGTTGCTTGGAAAGCAATGCTGGTTGACAGGTGAGACCAGCCATCTTCTCTTCGCTGCTATTCAAACTGCCAATGTGATATCTAAATAACAAAATCCATTTTCTTTGTATATCTTTGTGTCCTGTATTTAGGGATTGCTGTGCTCTGTTTAAGATCCTGGACTGCGTTCCTGGTGAACTTCTCTGGGATGCCTGGAAGACTCCTTCCACTGTTGCTGGGGCCACTTCTGGGCCGCAGTGAAACACTTGTGCCTCACGGGCATTGCAGTGCGAGTTCCGCTGCCTGAGGTGTTTTTCATGGCAGTGCACCTCTGAGCGTCACCCTCTGTTCGGCACTTTCTGCCAGCTCCTCTCCGCTTCCTTCTTTGTGCTGGATCAGGAGAATCTAAAGAGGGTCCAGAATGCCTGTGTTCTGCAATGTCAATCCCACTGAACAACATGTTTGCACTGCAGAACCATCTCTTCATTAGCGGCTCTGTGCTTCATGTTGGGCCGCATTAAACCAAGTTTTTTTTTTTTTTAAATCTATTTATAGATTTTATTTTTACATAATCATACACCCTGTTGTGGTTATTACCTACATACTTCAAAGGGTTAACTAAATTGTTCTGGATGTTTATATAATTGAATATAGATTCTGAATAGATGAAAATATTAACATGTACATATGCAAATATTTTCACAACAAACTGTATGCACAGAGTTTGTATTATTTTGTTGTGCAGATCTACATGGTGCCCTCTTTGTAGTCATTTGGAGCACAGGAATATACTGTATGTGTGTATGCTTGTCAAAAGTTATATTTTAATGCTGACCTTAAATATTCCATATTTCTATAAGAAAAAGGATGTGCACACTGATACAACCAGCTTATTGCTTTTTATTTTTTATATTTTCCCCGCTAACAGATTCGTTTATTTTTCAGTTGAATTGTACAGGTTATAGGTCACATTACAGGTGGGAAAAGTTTTGAAATGACTGATCGTGGTCTCATTTTTTTACATAACGAACACCTGGCATTTTAACAGTGGTGTGTACACTTATATATCCACTGTGTCTGTGAGGAGGACTGTAACTTTGGTGCATGTATGAAATCCTGTCATGTTTAACTGGTACTTTTAACTGAAGCTTTTTGTTTTTTAAATAAAGGTTCTTCTTAGCTCATAACTGCTTGCTATTGGCGATTTTTGTCAATTGCTATTTCTCAATGAATCTATGTTCATAAACAAAATTAACCATTAATTGAAAAATTACAGGCTTCCTTTTTCTCTACTTAAATAAAATTGATATAGCAGATTCTTCTCTGCAGGTCAGGTCATGTTGGGGAGCATGAACTGGTACCACGCATGGCTGTGCCCACCACATGAAACACCTTGGGATCCCAGTTGGTGATCCCCCCCCACCAACATGCTATCCAGTCCAACCCTCTGGAAGTGCCCGTCATCTGCTGCAGCCAGGTGTCACACGGGCGTCCCCTTGGCCTGGTCCAGCCGCTCGGGTCCTCAGCCTATGTGTCTATTCCTTCGGTACTGTGTCCCTTCGGAGAATCCTTGGGCACCGCTGGTTTGACTTTGTGTCGAACGAACGCTTGTTAGAGGAGTCCTGAATGAGGCACATTACCTGCATTGTGAGGGAGCGTCAGTCACGGCACTAAGGCCAGGTGGCGCGTTTCCCTGGGGATGATCCGGCTCGCAGGATCCTCATTGCTGAGGACACGAGCGGCTGGACCAGGCAAAGGGGACGCCCACATAACACCTGGCTGCGGCAGATGGTTGGCCATTTCCGGAGGGTAGGACTGGACCGTGTGTCTGCCTGGGGGATCGCTGACCGTGATCAGCCTCTTACGGAGTTAGCGATGCTACCTTATTGGTGACACAAAATTACTTTCATACTTTCAGTACCCACACACCTGATCAAATAACGGTCATGTTAATTCATTATTTAGCACGTAATTATAGTAAACATGTATGAGAGACAAAAGTCGGCCATTATCTCTCATCAAACAAGTGACATGGCTGCAAGCTAGCCACTCGTCCTGTCTTCACAGAATTTTGTCCCTAGAATAAAAGTTGTTAGAAACTGCGCGTCTTTCGAATATCGGAACAGAGCCACAAAGTCAAAGTGAAAAACACTTGTAAATAATCTAGACTGGAGTACTTCGTGATTTTCTTAGCTAAACAAAAATGCCATTGTTACCTCAATGAAGGGAGCATCATGGGGGGATGCCAGTCGATCGTAGCTAGGGCATACTGCAATACAGACAATCGCGCTCTGCGGGCGACTGAGAAGCACCGCAGTATAAG